TCAGTAGTTACCTAAAATCAATTTGAATACAAAACAAGTCTCAAATGTTTGCATGGTGAATTGACAATAATAATTAATTATAAGCTTTTGATACACCATGTAGCATATGCTACAAATCTCAATTGATGGTACTTGGTTCTGAGAAGAACCGTTTGGATTGTATGGGGTTTGAATTGGACCTATTCGGCAGCAATGGGAATTGAACCGGGGACCTAGAGATCTCCACGTTTCAGCGCACACACAGTGGCTACCACCAGATTAGCCGACTGAGCTAAGCTGCTCTCAACGAGTGTGTAATGTACTAATGTCCCAACCTTTTTTTTAGTATACTCTAACCATGATAAAAATTTGAAATGATGGCCTTATAAAACTGATAAAAGTTCCAGTTGTTGAAATAATCTCTATTATTTTATTAGGTGTTATGTATTGTAATTGCAGCAGTATTTATATACAGTACTGTATTTGACATTTTATTATAAAGGTAAAGATAGAGTAAAGAAGGGTATAGCCGACAGCACTTGGTGCTCCTCAGTCTTCCATCCAAGTATTGTATTGCTTATCTTCAAATCTCAGGCGAGAATGGACATTTCAACAAATAGTAATCCATTTCATAATTAATTATTAACGGATGTGTAGTAAGGATCACTTACTTCTACATTCATCATTGGTTCTAGGATTTCAGATGCTGTAGCTTTTAGACAGGATTTTAGACACTGTGATGCGCAAGCCGACACCATGGCAGGGGAGGTTCCGGTACCAATACTCAAGCTCTCAATCGCTATTTCAACACCTAGCATTTGTGCATTTATCAAGGGGCCTGGAAAAATATGATAAGATTGTGTTAGAAGTGACACTATGAGAACAAAAAAAATGTTCCATTAATATGGGTTTTGCGCACACAGAAATTGAAAACAAGTCCTTATAAGTTAGTTTAATTGACCTAACGACTTACAATATAATTAAATTCCATCAAATCTAAGTGGACACTGAGCCTACTGTATTGAATTTGTTGTGAAAAAAATATTTATTACAATGTCCTAAAGAAGGAGGTTGTATTTAGAATGCAAGGCAGGCAGTGTGTACCATGATAGTGTAAACAATTAGCAAACAATTTATGAATATTCATCATATTCATCTTGTCCACATTAACAACTTGCCAACTCAACACCATTATATGTCATAATGTTATCTAAGTGTTTCTGTTTATGTGAGATATGAACTTGTGTGGTGTCCATGAAACACTTTGACTAGATTGGTGACCCTCGACAACATAAAACTGAGATTATTAATAAATATAGTAAAGCAGCCCCCCCCCCAACACCACCCAACACACAAAATAATTATCTATAAGTCTAAATACTGTACTGTCAACACTTGTTACCTTGATGACAGGCTAACAATGCCCCATTCTCAACAGCATCTATGAATTCCTTCCCATAATTCAATGCTTCACATTGTTCCGATATCAAAATTGAGTTAGGTATTGTAAAATCAAATGTAGGAGTTAACTTCATCCCTATATTAACCAGGTGGTTTTGATCACCAATGGTTCTCTCCAAAATTGCTGGAATAAAATATACAGTGACAGGAAAAATTAATAAATACTAGAAATTGCAAATTGCAAGTGAAGTGCTGCGTAGTACAACTGCATATAAATGTTCTTTGAACAAAATTATTTATGCGAGTCAAGTGAAAATAATGAATGATAAAAATATAACAAATAATATGAGACATGACCCATTGTCTATATTAGAACACTGACGAGCTGACATAGAAACATAGTAAAAACGAGCGTTGGTATGCCAGTCTACAACAAGCGTCGCCTAAATGTAATAATTAGCACGCTGAAATAGGCTAGTAAATAAGTTTAACTGGGTTCGTAAATAATATTGGCCTCAAAATATTGTGGCTAAGACATGGGCCGATTAAACGTAGAAATAGGAAACCTATAAATATAGTAAAAACGCTGAATAGTAATACTCGAGCGTCGCGACATGCGGACGTTGGTACGTGTAGGTTAGTCTACAAACATCGCCTAAAGGTATTGATTTTACCCAGCAGAATGAAAGAAAAAAACTCCGCTTTTCAGTCGTCTTAGGCCCTTGTTTTTTGACAATGACCTTTCAGAGGTCAAATTGCTGTCAAGAATATGAATTGGCTGCTTCGCAGCAATAAGTGCCACATGCCATTCTTTATGTATGAGGGCAGCAAACACATTATTTTGACCAAAATGCATTTCAGAATAAATCAGCATTGGTAAATACTAGAGTAAGGGTACTAAGTCCTCTGGTCTACACTATAAAATTTTATGTGGTAAATTTGTGTGATATGTACATATATGGGCATAATGATGTTATATTACACCCATATATGGGAATATCACATTTATTTGTCACATAAAATTTGATAGAGTAGACAGAGCTTTAGTTAACTATTATTTATTTTGAACTTCTAAAGGTTAAATATTTTAAGCATGATTTTGTCCTTACTTGTTTTTGAGACCGGTTCAATGATTGCTTCCCTGTATGATATCTGAAGTGGACCTAGATACGCATCGATCTTGTACTCCTTCCGAATTCTGTCATGGATTATCTCAAGATGAAGCTCCCCCATTCCTGAAAGAATCGTCTACACACACCCAACAAAAAAAAGTAATATGTATTCTCATCTTTTAATATTGTTCCCAAATACCTTCCAATAAATATATAAATAGAAAAACAATATATTTTCCCTATTTGACCTATTTTAAATTGAAATTGACATAGGAGACATGTCTCTTAACCCACTAGACTCTTAAGTAAGGGTTATTTGAGGAGCTGAAAGATCAGACTTCAATAAAAATCTGATCCTAGCCATGTTTTGAACTGAGTTCTTCGGCAAAAGATGTACGAGAATAATCCCTCAGCCAAATGATCGGAATTAAATATAATTAATGCTATCAGTTGTAGGCATGTACATTATTAAATTGCTAATACTGTATGTCTAAACTTGACTATTCTTTATAAAGCCGAGCATACAATCAGATTTGTTTGTCAACATAATTGGTATTGACTAGATATAATAAAGTACATATACTTCTAACTGTAACGCAGTACACATGATACAGGTGTTGGTACTTATTGGCCGATTAAACCAGGGAGCTGCAAATCCCTGAATAAACCACATTACAAAAAGAAAACCACAAACAACACTGAAAACTATCACACCAAATTCGATCAAACATTGTCTACTGAATCTGACAAAAGCACAATAGTGTATGTAAACTTAAGAAGACATGCTTACTTGGCCTGTCTCTTCATCCACCCTCACATGAAGACTTGGATCCTCTCTCTGAAGACAAGCAAGTGCATGGTCTAAAGCTAGTATAAAGGTATAAATGTAACACATTTTAATTAAAATGCTGAAAGTAAGCCCCAATAATTTCGCTGTAGTATTCTTGCTATTAGCATTAATTAACCTGCAAGAAATTGATATACTGTTTTTAAGTTAATTATTTCATACGGTTTGATATTTGTTCATTATTCATAAGTGGATCAGTTTTATTATTTTCATTCGGATCATCAAATAATACAAAAATGGAAATAATATTACAACACAAACTTTTCCAAAGACACACTTTCACACTACCTTCTTGATAGGCCATGGATGGAGGTTCTATAGTACAGAAAAAGACAGGCTGGGGGACATCTAAGCCTGGAAGAAGCTCTAATTGCCGTGCTGCCTTGTCTTCAATATCTGGGCCTAGCTTTCTTCTAGCCTTTCTACTTGATTGGCTTTTAGATTCCTTTGAGACTTTTGCAAGATTTGACTTGGATGAAACCATTGTATCACCTGTCATAGTCTGCAAGAAATATCAAACAACAATATTTTTGAAACTATTAGAGTATAGAAAGGTTGAGTTGATAAGTGTTTTTCTGCTCTTTATAAATAAAATTACAGTGCATTATATACAAAAACCTAATGTCTTAAATATACATTGCCTGTGCTGAGCAATATTAAACTAAACATTAACTTCAATTTAAGAAATTTTGAAAACCATCTATAAATTAAAGAAAATATAAATAAATTGTTTCATTAAAAGTCGATAACTTTTTTGATGTTAGGGGTGGAAATATTTTTGGTGTAAATCACACCAAGGATAACCGACTAAGTCCAAAGACTTGTTTCTTTCTGGTGGTGAATTGGGCAGTATACCGGGAGACAATCTGCTACTCTTTTCTGAAGAGTATACCATGTTCTTTAACGTGCACCTGGGCCATATTGCACACAGGACAAACAGCTTAAACGTCTCATCCAAAAGATCGTAATAACTTGTATTTCAGCCCTCCAACTGGAACACAAGGAGAGCAGCGATTGGAATTTAACCCGTGGGCCTAGAGATCTCCACAATTCAGACCACACACAGTGGCTACCAACACTTTAGCCGACTGAGCTCAGCTGCTCAATTTGATGAGCAGTTCAATAGTTATACTTGTGTTTGTTAATAATATTTTTTTTTATATTTTGCAACAGACTAGCAGAACATAAAGCCCAACTGTCCAGACTATCAAATTTTATTTGGCAAAAACTTATGACATGCCTATGTTCATGATAACATGCATATATATTGGCACAGCATTACTATATATGGGCATACAGTAGTTTAAACAAAAAATTATCTGGACAGTGCATTGGAATAAATGTCAAACCTGTTTTAGGCCAACGGCAACAGCAATATTGCCAGACGACATCGTGTGAACCTCCCTATGCTCGTCTGCAAATACCTCCAATAAACGACTTATTCTCTCTCTACAATGAAACAGATATTAAAGTACAGTAAATACCAATAACTATTTATATACACATACAAAGTTTTAAATACTTGTACGTTCATCAAATATAACCATCACATCAAAAATGTATACACTGTATCAAGTCGAATTTGATTACATTATTACTCTCCCCTGTCGTCTGAAATTTGATAATCAAAGTTATAGTGATTGAAAATCCCTAATGTGGTCTAAAAACTAAAATTTTGGTACATCCTAATCCACAAAATCTGTCCCTAAGAATCACACCAAAAATGTATGCTGTATGATTCTGTATGGATCAATAACGTTTGTCACAGGATGAATTTTATACAGATATCACATACATGGTTCCTCTATTCAAGTTGTACAAGGCAGATTGAGCTTTAAGTTCACCAGAATAGATTCGTAGAAACACAAGAGGGCCTCGTTGTTTGTCATGTACAATCTTAAAAGCATATGCACAAAGTTCTCCATCAAATGATGAACTGCAAAAAATAAAAGTTTGCGCAAGAAATTACATTCATCTGCACTAATGGTAAATATTTTCCTAATTTACTCATTAATGTGTAACTAGAAAGTGAAGAAAAGTGATCTGAATATCAACAAATATTTTTTGAAATTAGGGCATACACAATAATAGTTATTTAATAACTTTTTAAAAGAGCCATTGCCTCTAACTGAAAATGCCTTTTAACTGTTTTCAACCATTTAATATTTTAATGCGCTAGAAGGAAGTCTGCAATATGAAATAAACTCTTAACTCACACTAAATCTTGGTTCTGTTGTTGTGGTGATGGTAAGTAGTCAACTACAGCATCCATCAGCAGTTGAACTCCTTTGTTCTTCAATGAACTCCCACAAAGAACCGGCACTGCACCCCTGGCTAACGTCACTCTGCGAATTACCGCCTTTAACTGGAAGTGTATCAATGTTGTTAAAACTTTGATATCAAGCATTGTATTGTACATGGTTAAAATTGCAGGAGTTCATGTAAAATGATTACATTTTTGTATAAAGCATTCTACAATTTTAGAACAATTGGGCTCATTTGAAAATACAGTACATGCCACACAATGTACATCAGATTATTGTCTTAGATATCCTAGATGAGTCTTTTTTTTTTTTATGTAAAAATAAATGTGAAATTTAGTAATGGGATGGTATAATGCTATAAATTTATATAATTAGGAAGAAATATATATGTCTTATTTTTGTAGATTTCAAAACAAGGGTGGGTGTAATAGAAATAAAAAATCTTTCATTTTTTTCTAAAATTTCCCTTTTTTAGTGGGGCGGGTGCACTAATTGGCCAAAAATAAAAATTTTATTTTTATTCGAAATCATCATTATTGGCAGGCAGAGGGGTTCGCTGAAGAAGGTATAAAAAAAATTCTCGTCTTAAGCATATGAAAAGTCTTGGACTAGTCATTGCCATGCTGGGCATATACAGTACATTACAATGCACCCTGATACCTATTAGCATATATATTTTGACGCAAACAGTTACAGTGAATGCCATGCAACATGGTGAAGGTAATTCACATTGGTGGGAGGACCTGTTTTGACACTTTTGCCCCAACCTATATTTAAGAGAAAATATTTGAACTACTCAATTTGGCTACCTACCTCATCAGAATCAATTTGAAGCGGATCAAAACTATCTGTTTCCAAAACCCTCTCAGCAAATTCACCATCTAACTCCACAAGCTACAAATCCATTCATATGATGAATTAATTATATTATCTAAGATTGGTTGAATGCACATATTAATTTAAAAAAAAAAAGGTTTACATAAAAATATATAAATAGATATATACATATATGCAAAATATATATTCCATAATATAAAAACAATTCTAAATTTTACACCCATAAAGAGGTATTTTGGGATACACTTATATACAAAAAACACAAAATATAATAAAGGTGAAATACTATCAATAATATAGTTAATAATAAAAAAACAAATCTTACGTCTTCAATAAGTGCTCCACGAGCTGCCACCAACTGCTTCCAATTAACCAAGTTGTCTTTACTCACAGGTTGCTCTACATAGTTTCTGCCATCGCCTTTTGGATTCCATATTACTGTTTCCATGGTTACTACATTTAGAACACCCTCAAAACTCGAATGCCTGCCTAAAGGCAACTGTAAGAGCATAGGTCGAGTGTATTTTAATCTGTTATGTATTTTAATTGAATATTATAAAATCAATGAATCTAGTAATGGAGATAAAAACCTCAAGCAACAACATTATGGAGCAAACTAATACACAACTAGTTCAACCATATGGGGAAAACACATCTCCAATAGCAAGTTGTTGAAGTAATCCCCTAAATACTCAGCAGTCAAACCCTAAAGAGATCCAGCCTACAATATAGCAACTAAAACACAGCAGTCAAGATGGTAGGCACAATGTAGGAGTAACGTCAACATGGTTGGCACGACTAATATACTTTTTTTTATCTAAAAAAAAGCCATGTTGTTAGACCTAATGAGAAGTTTAAACATTAGCTTAACAATACCCCATATGATAGCTGTATACTGCTGAAATCTTTATTTTGAAGGTATAACACACCTGTATGACAAGAGGCTTCACTTGTAGCTTCTCCTTTATTGAACGAACTGAGAATTCAAAGTCAGCGTTATGTTTGTCCATCTTGTTCAAGAACGCAATTCTAGGTATTGAATAATTATTAGCTTGTCTCCACACAGTCAGGGTCTGGGCCTAGAAAATAAAGTGATACATATGATAGATATGGAGTGAATATCAGACTTCCTCCAGCCAGTCCAGACTTCATAAAAATGTAATAATATTTAGTTTGGCCCAAGAAGTTATCTTAGCCTTTAGACATGAAGCATTTTACTGTAGTAATAGTAACATATAAGACTGTAAATATGAAGTGATTTTTTGTATGCAGTAGTTTTAAATTCATAATATAATAATTGACTTACCTCAACTCCTGCAGAGGAATCAAATACAGCAACAGCGCCATCTAGAACCCTTAGACATCGTTCCACTTCAACTGTAAAATCAACATGCCCTAAGGGAAAAAAAATGTTTCTATAATCATATTTAAAGTTGTTTTAAAAATCTAGAGAAAATTGACAGTGAGTGCAAAAAATGTAAATTTAAATATAAAATATGATAAGTAGCATTTAATGGTTGCCAAAATAAAAAATTAAAAAAATACACATCAAAGGCGGATCCATAGAAAAATCTGAGTAGGGGCTATGTGGCATGGTGTTTGTTTAGAAATTTATGATCATAAACACTGATACATGGAAGATTGGAGTACCATGCTCCCATCTTTCTCCTTCTCTTTACTTCTCTCTTTCTTTTGGGTGGTCGGGGGGGGGGGGGAAGGGAGACACCCTATCCACTGTAGCTCCCACTGGGTCTGCCCCAGCACTTATTTCCTATTTCCTTTATTGCACCTTAATACAAATGTGGTTGATATAAGGCCACTAAAAAAAATTTGAGATGCCCAAACCAAATTGACCAAAATAGGACACCAAAATGCTTGGATTTTATATGATAAAGCGAGTACCAGCTTTACTTTTGACACTTTTAAAACACCAAATAAATAGCAACAGGTAAGTGATGGTTAATTAACAAACATTGCTTGAAATAATTTCCGACCGACCCTGATTTCAAAATGTCACTGTGCTTAGCAGTCATCATCTTCATAGCACCCTCCTCATCATCACTAATAGCATCTTAATTACAAACATCACCATATTACTTTTCATCAAACATCTTTATCAGCAATCACAGTCAAACGACCACCATAAACAATCATTATCACCATTATCATCATTATCAACATCAATATCATCATTGCATAGGTTTGGAAAACAGACACACCCGCTGCATATTATAACATATACTTACTATCATTAGCACTCTGCCCGGCAAACACAGAGATCTCTGCGTTTGGTAATGCAATGCTTGACCACCAACCACGGACATCTCCGTGTTTCAGGTTTTTTTTTACAGAATCCCATAGATGAGGAAATTACTGACATGTAATAACAATTTGAACACTATATTCAGTCTGGACCATAAGTATTTCACTATTTGTTTGTTTACAATAGCATAGAGCGGTATTGATTTACTTTCACGAAATCGCGATTATCTCAGCTTCGTTGTGCAAAATTGCGTAAATCTCAAAAAGTGAGTCATTTTCATTTTACTGTAACATGTCACAGATTGTGATTAGAATAAAGTGTTTGGTACTATTGTTTAGTTCTTGTAGTATTCATTACATGTCAATCTGATCACATACTCACCCTCAAAGAGCTTCGGAAAAGTGTTAAAATTTGCTTAAAACCTGACAGTAGCTGATACTATTTTTTCAAACCCCTGGCAGTCAGAGTGTTAAACATCACATACCTGGAGTATCTATCAGGTTTATTCGATGGTCCTTCCAATGATACGTAACAGCTGCTGAGGTAATTGTGATTCCACGGTCCCTCTCTTGCGGTAAATAATCCGTTACTGTGTCACCATCATCAACATCTCAAACAAAATTTTAAACAACATACTAGTTAAAATTTTACAATATTTGTTAAAATGGTTACAGGGATGTGCTATGGGTTTATATAAAAAAAAAAGTGAACATTCTTGACAGAATGTGCATTATAGTACAGTGTTACAATATTGTTATACTAACTATACTATCCCAGTACTGGTTCATATAAATAATAATAAATTAATTTAGTAAAATATAATAAATAAATATATAAATAGAAATATAATGGATATAAGTAAATGGAGCTCACCTCCGAGGTATCTGGTCTGCCCTGCATAATATAACATTCTTTCAGAAGTGGTTGTTTTCCCGGCATCAATATGTGCCATAATGCCAATATTGCGAATCTCTTTAGAACCAGCGGTCTGTGATAAATTCCTAGTTCCTATGGGAATAACTTAAACATTAATATTTAATGTCTGAAAAAAATGTAATATTGGTGTTTTCATTAGCTTATTACACAATTTTAATACCTTTGTGGCAGAAGCATTTGCAAGGATAAGTTGATACGCTACTGACACATCGAAGCAGATTGCCCCTCAGTATTAAAGCTCCTGGTAAAAACAACATGATTTCAGAACACACTCTATTGAACAAAAAAAAGATGATATTTCACTATGATGGTACTAGCACTGCAAGAAATAAACACTGTTAACTCAATGACAAGGATAAACACAAATTCACACTGAAGGATTTGGCATAGGACTATGTATTTAGTTAAACTAATTTTGAGTATCTATATGAAAAAACTCAGGTTTCTGTGTTTCTTTGTCTCAGTACTACTACTACGTCTACAAACAAGTTGATAAGAGGCCTAGCCATGCATGGCCTTGCTTGGAGGCCTTTATTTAGCTAGAAATATTCGGTCAAGCAGTCTTGTCGAAAAACTAGGTCTAAGCCACATGGTATATATAATAACACAATATATTTAACCAAAATAAACATAATCATACTATTACTAACCTACCTATGTGGGGTTTTTTTTTCACTTCATCCGATTTGGTCAATCACACACGTGCATTTTGTTGACATCATATTTTAATATTTTCGGGGTCATGTTTAAGAATTCATGTCTATTGATACTTGCTGGTTCGTTAGGAAATCGGCATTTTCTATTGACATAACTTGGTACTATGTTCACGTTGACGTGTAAATATCAATACAAACAAAAAAAGAGCGCCACTCTTGAATTCTTGACTTTCATATGTGTAGAGTTCCCAACGAGGTCAGAAATATGAACGAAAAACACAGAAAAGTAAGTAATGATGTTATTACTACATCCATCGCATTGCATGATATAATGTTGTGTATATATGTATACACGTAAGCGTACAACTAAAAGCCTAGAATAGAAAAACTAGGATGCCAGCTAGGCCTAGCCTAGACTATAGAGGCCTAGGCCAAGTAGTAGGCTAGTAGTAGTACTAGGCGGCCTAAGGCCCTACTAAATACTAGAGAAGTAGTAGGCCTAGCCTAGCAAGACAGGGCGGGCGGGTCCCAGTACTGGGTGAAGGTCAACTCGGCCACAAGTCAACTCGGCCACAGTCAACTCGGCCACAAGTCAACTCGGCCACAAGTCAACTTGGCCACAAAAATTTTGGCTTCTGCCAACTCGGCCACAAGTCAACTCGGCCACAAATCAACTCGGCCACAAGTCAACTCGGCCACAAGTTATTTAATGTAAATCTAAGTTTTTGCATCCTTTTTCTTCAATATTATGATTGAAATAAAGTACACAGTATGTTTTAGTAAAACAGGACCATACTAATTAGTCATTATGACGATAATAAATGTGATAATAACAACAACAACATTAATAGTATTATAAATAGTAATATTTATTTTAACAAATAGTAATAATACTAGTATGGTAATAATAACGATATTTAAATATCAATTTTAATAACTAATTAGTGATAATAACTATATTGAAGGTGATAATAGCAATAATACAATAATAAATTAAAGGTAATGTTTATTTTTATAATAATTGTAATACTAATTAGTAATAATAATAATAATGATACTTATAATACTAGGCCTACTTAGTAATAATAGGGTAATAATATCGGTAATAAAGGTGACAACAACAACAATAATATTAATAATAATAATGATATGAGAAAAATACTAATAAAACGCCAATAACAACAACTTTTTAAAATAATATTATTAAAATTATAATACTAACACTAATAAATAATAGGAATAATTTAAAATATTTATTAATTATATGGTACTATAAGTATATGTACTATATATATATATATGTAATAATAATAATATCAGCAAAAATTTGAACAATATATAATG